GAGAGAGAGAGAGAGAGAGAGAGAGAGAGAGAGAGAGAGAGAGAGAGAGAGAGAGTATACGATTCACTTTATGCATTAACAGAGCGAATTGCCTGGCTGCACCGCAGTGCCCATATATATGCCAGAGAGGGACAAGAACAACCTAAGCTCCCTGGCTCCCTCGACGCTCTCAGTACACCTGGAGTTTTACTTCAAATACAAGAAACAGCTGGTGTTCGTGATTTAAAGCTCAATACAGAGAGCAGAGAGAATGTGTTTCATAAGCTGCCTAGGTTGGCAAAATTCCAGAGTTCATCAAGTAGAAGATAGAATGATGGTGATGATGATCATAAAAAATGATGCCGTAGAGTTGGTCCTTACATAGTAATAGACGTACAATCTGCATAGGAGACTCCAGAGTGGGGACGTACCTCAACTTCACCTGAAATAGATTCATAACAAGAGCTTCCCAGGGCCTATGAATCTCCGAAACAATACCATATTGCTTGAAAGGGTTGTGCTTGGAAGCTGATCCCTGAAGCCTTCAGGCTGTGGTCTCGCTTTAATCTTTACAGGGCCATTGGTATCTATATAACATAGGGAAGGTCCCTACAAAGTCAATATTCAAAATCCAAATAATGTAAAAAATGACTAAACATCCAGCTAATGTTTTTTTTTCTTTCTTTTTTTTTTCAAAGTTTTATTGATAAACAGATAGCAATGAGACAGTTTCAAATCAAATCGGAAGTACAGTTTCAACAAATAATATACTGCTAGCTAATGTTTTTTTTTAATAAACTGTCGAAATCTTTGCTATGAATCTCGTGAAAAGTCTAAAGCAATGAAGTCTCTCCTTTGGGAAAAGGCCAACGACCTGACTGATAGATGAATTTCCATCACTAGTGAGAATAATACTTTTTTTTTTTTTTTCCTGGAACCAGGGATTGAACTCAGGCTCTTGTGCTTGTCAGGTAAGCGCTTAATCTACTGAGCCATCTCCCCGGCCCCGAGAAAAATACTTTTAATACATACTGAATGGTTCTATAGTCAGGTAAGATACTGAGTACTTTAATGTATTAGGGCACTTAGTTCTTTTGATGTCATTGCTGATGCTATCATTATTTTCAAAGAGAGGAAGGGCTGTGGGTTTAGCTCAAGGATAGAACACTTGCCTAGCATCTGCAAAACCCTGGCTTAACCCCTGGCACCATACACACACACACACACACACACACACACACACACAAAAGGAAGGAAAACAGATTCCTAGAGGTGTCAGCATGGGGCAGGGTCACACAGCTAAAGGAAAAGGTGAGCCACTCTGCTGCTCCCCACAGCCTGGGGTCCTCAGGACAGAGTGGAGATGGTTGGGTTGTTGGTATCCAGATCACTGCAGTGCAGAAAGTGGCCTTCATTTCAAGAGGGCAGCACATGGAGAGCAGCTAATGCCATCCACAGCCAGAGATCGTCTTCCTCACTCTACCAGCTGCTGCACTGAGTTCTTCTTTCAGTCTGGCAGAACCAGGTATAAGACTTACAGATGGTTCAGAGAATCCCATTCCCAGTACTGCAACCACTGGATCATAAGGTATACACTTTATTTATTTATTTTTTCGGAACCAGGGATTGAACTCAGGCCCTTGCACTTGCCAGAGGAGCGCTTATTCCACTGAGCCATCTCCCCGGCCCCAAGGTATACACTTTAGAAAACAGTGTGAACCTAGTTTCCAACGTGGTTTACTAACTTACCTCCCCACTAATAATGTATGAGATCCTGTTACCCACGTCCTGTCTACACACATCTTCTTAATATGTGTGAATTCAATGAGTATAAAATGGGTCTCACTGGTCTTGTTTTCGTGTCCTCCAAACTAGTCATTCTTCATACACTTATCAGACATAACTGCTTTCTCTTATGTAAAATGATTGCTCATATATCTTGCCTAGTTTTCTATTGGGTTATTTAGTCTTGTATTGATTTGTAACTCTTCCTACATCCTTTGTCTGTGGTATGTATTACAAACATTGCAGATATCTTTACCAATTAACTTGTTTTCTCACTTTCTTTAGGGCAGCTTTTAATGAACTGAGATTCTTGATTTTATTAGAGTCACAGGTACCACCATTTCTTTCTTTTTCTTTTT